TGTGGTGTAATGTTTTCAGTTCTGGGAATATGCCCAAAAGTGGCTGTCTACACTCACCAACAGTGCAAAAGTGTGCCCTTTTCCCCACAGCCTCTCCAGCATTTATTATTGGTAGTTCTCTTAATCATGGCTATTCTTTATGGAGATGGAATCTCAGTGTTAATCTCCATTTCTCTAATGAGCAATGATATTGAACATTTTTTCATGTATTTGCCATTTATATTTCATCTGAGAACTGTGTATTCACCTCAGATGCCCATTTTTGGACTGGGTCTTTGAATTTTGGAGGCCTGATTTTTTTAAAATTCTTTGTATGTTATAGGTAGAAATCCTTTGTCTAAGGGACAGTTGACTAAGATTTTTTTCCTAATTCGTGGGTTTTCTTTACACTCTGTTGGAGATTTCTTTTGACATGCAAAAACTTTTTAGTAAGATGAGATCCCAGTTGCTGATTCTGGGAAGTATTTCCAGTGTAGTTTTTTTTTCATAAACTCTCTGCCTATTCAAGATTTTTACCTACTTTGTCTTCCAGTAGATTTACTGTTTCTGTTTTAATATTTAGTAATCTTTAAAATTCTTACAGAATTTAGTGGTAAATCCATCAGGATTTGGGCTTCTTTTAGTTGATAATTTATTCTTCAACCTCACTCACTTGGCTTATTTAAAATTTTTCATATCTTCTTTCATATCAACTTTGATAGTTCAAATATACCTAGGAATTTATCTATTTCGTTTAGATTTTTTAGCTTATTAATGTACAGATCCTCAAAATAAGTTACCAATAATCTGGATTTCAGCAGGCTTTGTTGTGATTTCATCTTTAATTGTATGGATATAGATATTTTCTTTCCTTTTAAAAATAACACTGGCTAACAGTTTGTCTTATTTTGTTCAGTCTTTAAAGAACCAGCCCTTCAATTTATTGATTCTTTGTCTTTAGTCTCCATTTTACCCCTGATTGTTATCATTTCCTTCCTCATACTAGCTTTGGCCCTGAATTGTTCAGGATTAGAAAATTTATTTGAGCACATTCTTTATCTAAAGTGTATTTCCTGTCATATACTCCCCTCTTAGGACTGCTTTGTGTTCCAGAGGTTTTGGTATGTCCTATTCACATTATCATTTGTTTGTAAAAATTATCTAAATTAGCTGGGTGTGGTGGTACATGCCTGTAATTCCAGCATTTGGGAGGCCAAAGCAGGAGGACTGCTGTGAGTTCGAGGCCAGACTGGGCTACAGAGTGAGCTGAAAGCCAGCCCTGAATGCACGGCGAGATGCTGTCTCAAAAACACATACACACACCAGTTGTCTAATCTCATGTGACCCATTGGTAATTCAAGAGGGTATTATTTAATTTCCACCTGTTTGTATAATTTGTCTTTTGCCATTAATTTTTAGTCTCACTGTACTATCGTCTGAATAAAATTCATGTGATAATTTGTTTTTTTGCATTTACTTAAGCTTGCTTTATGAGCTAGTATGTGGTCTGTTTTGGAGAAACTCCTGTGAGCTGCCAAGAACATATACTCTTTTCAAGTGTAATGCTCCCTAAACACCTATAAAGTCCATTTGTTTGCAGGTTTGGTTCAGCTCTGATAGTTCTTAAATTTTTTTTGCCTAGTTGATCTGTCCTTTTTTAACCATGGGTAACTGGGATGCTCCATTAGAACCATATTGGTGTCCATCTGATTTTTCACACCCATTAGTGTTTGTTTTATGAAGTGGCATGTACCAATATTTGGTGCGTAAGTATTTGTGATTGGGTTTGAGATTTAGTCCAGTGGCATAAGCACTTGCCTGGGAAGTGGGAAGTCGTGAGTTTGATCCCCAGTACCAAAAGATAATCAATAAATCAATCGATAACTATTTGTGATTGTTAGCTCTTCCTGTTAACCAGCATGTGGTGACTTTCGATCAGTCTTGGCTTGAAGTCACTATGACTGAAATTAGGATAGCGACCATTGCTTTTTTTCTGAGTATGGCTTACATGAAATGCTGTTTTCTGTTCTTTGACATTTAACTTGTATCTTTTTAAATTACCAGTGTTTCTTGTGTACTGCATATTGCTGCGTTGTTTTTTGATCTCTAACGCCGGCCTGTGTCTTTTGATTGCACGCTGTGAGTTATTAATGAGACGTACTGATTTATTCTGGCATTGCTATCTCACTGTTGCTGTCTTCACCCCCACAACTCCCCCCCCTCCCGTTTTACTTAGCTGATGATCCCACCATGTATATTCATTCTTTCTGACATACCAGCCTTACTTCTAGGATGTCCTTAAAGTTGTTTCATTTTGTTAATGCTGGTTTTGTGGTTATGAATTTCTTGAAGTGTTTGCTCTTTGTCATGGTAAGGACTTAATTGTCCATCAACTTTAAAGAAAGCTCGATACGTCATGGTAAGGACTTAATTGTCCATCAACTTTAAAGAAAGCTCGATACGTAAGCTAGGGCTAAAATCTGTTATTTTTTAGGGCTTGGAACACTTTACTCCGAGCCTTCCTGGCCTCTAAAGTCTGTGTGAAGAAATTTGCCATGATCCCTATTGGTTTACCTTTGTATACGATGTGTTGCCTTTCTCTCACAGCTTTTAAACTTTTGTTCCTATATCCCAAGATGGATATATGGGATTTTAAGTATATGTATGTGGTGTGGAAAGGTTCTCTTTTGATGATGGATATATATCTCATTTATCTTTTTTTTTGGTGCAGGGAATTGAACTCAGGACCTTGTGTTTACACCAGGCAGGCACTGTGTGGCTGAGCTACATCCCTAACCCGTTTATCTGTTTCTTTCCCTGTATTTGTCAAATGTTCTATTACTTCTGTGAATTTTTTTTCCCTTGGGCCATTTGTGTTATTTTCTGATTTATTTTTGGTACCAGGAATCAAACTTGGGACCTCACACTTGCCAGACAATGAGCCGGAGAACCATTTCCCAACCCATGTTTTCTGATTTTTCACCTACTCCAATAATGGTGTGTTTAAGTCATCTAGTAGTTTTTTAATCTATTTTTAATGCTTACAGTTTTTAAGGTGTCTTTGAAGGTCTTCTTGTCTGAGATTCTGTTCTCACTTGTTTTCTTCTACTGCCGGTGCCTTCTGTATGATTTTTAATCACTTGGGTTCCTGACTGAAATCTTTGCATGGACTCTAATTGTTTGGTAAACTGATCATTCATATTTAAATTGTTTTCTTCAGCTCATTCAACTTTTTATTAGTAGTGTCTTTGGAAAGCTCTGGCATCTTTTTGTTATTACTTCCACTATGTTTAGTTATACTGTATCTAATCCCACTGAATACTTAGAGCTATCCTAACCTCTTCTGCTATCCTCTGAATTACTTTGCCTGTGCAGTTTATGCTGGTCTGCCCTTTGCTACCCATGGACTGGCTTGGGGAGTTGGTAGTTTTGGAAGTTACTCTGTTGCTTTCTCTTCTCACACATGGTGGTTTTTGTATTTTTTTATTTTGTGCTGAGGTTTGTGGGTACTTGGAGTCTGAATACTTTAGGTTACTAGTATGGAGATCTCTGCTTGCTATTCAGTGATGACCTTGGGCAAGGTTAGCTGTAACTTTGTTACAGCCCCAAGACCTTACCAACTGGTCAGTTTGAGGGGAGGGGAGGCAGTGTCCTTAGCCCCAGCGATCCAGTTCTCTGGGAATGCAGTATTGTTAATGTCACAAAGGAAGCCTGAGTGTTGCCTTACAGACAGACAGCAACCAGTATGTAACATAGGTAACAGCCAACCATGCTGTGTCTTTACTAGAGGAAAGTCAGCAGTAGAGATAAACAGTAAGGCAACACAGGAATTGACTTATAGCTGACATGGACTAAATGTGACAACTGTTGCTACAATTAAACAGTAACTATAGATTTAACAAAGCTTTACAGTTATACCATTAAAAATACAGGGTTTGGGGTGAGGGAATGCAAAAAAGAAACTTAAAAACTTTTAGCTCTGTGATATATATGAAAAGGAAACAAAAGTGCTCTTACAAGGATAAGACAAAACTCACAAGAGAAAAGAGATACAAAGAGGGTCAAAAAAGAAATTACACAGTGAAAATAAGAGAATACTTTGGAGAACAGTTAACTGCAGAAGTGAGAAGCAGAAAAAGATTACAAGCGAGGCGTGGACCAAAGGAAACTGAGAGAAGGTAGGAAAAAGGAAAATGGAAAAAAGGAAACAAAAGACCCTAAAAATAATGCTTAATGTTAAAAAAAAAAAAAGTAAAAACCCATCGGAGTGAAGAAAAACAGAATTTCTGACTTCAGGGGCAGTTTGGGGGCAGCATCCCATTCCAGGTGTGTCCCTACTGTCGCCAGCGGCCAGCAGGGGGAAGCAGTCAGAGCGCAGGGCTGTGCCCAGGCAGCAGGGCAGGCCAGGGGGAGCCGCTCCCCGGCCTCCATCATCACCCTCTGCTGCCTTCACCGCTCCCTGCTGAGGCTCCACCTCAAATCTGCAGCAACTTGCTGCAGCGGCGAGGGAGGGGTCCCCAGCAGTCCCCCCTCGTCACGCACACACGCACAGCGCGTGGCCAGGAAGCCGCCTGGAGACCCTGGCACCGTCTGGTCACCTTGGCCCTGCTTTCCAGGGAGCTGTGGGAGTCCCCTTCCTTCCGATCACCTCCCGCCACCTGTTTCTCTGCAAGCTGTGGCGCCCTGACCCCAGAACTGCAGCTCTGGCTCCCAGCGCCAGCCTGAGTGAGAAGCACCGAGGGCCCTGGCTCAGCTCCAGATTGGGTAGAGGCCGCGCCGCAGCGGCGGGGTCACGGGGAACAAGACGCCGGGCTGGAGTTCCCCTGCTGCTGCCGCAGCCTCAGCCCCCAGACTGGAAGCCCTGAGCAGAGGCGACATAGGGGTCGCACGAACTGAAAGGAGAAAAATGCCGTTTGTGGCACCTGCGTACCCATAGCCGTGCACGGGCGTGCGGCACCTGGTTTCTATCAGGCTGGAAGCGCGCTCTGAATCAGACTCTGAATTAGAGACCACTCAAAAAATCTTTCAAGAAGACTTTATTTTTAATGTAAAAGTTCTATTTCTTGTGAGGCAGCAACAAGTGTTCAGGTACAAGGAATATGTAAGTACATAACAATACCTGTTAGCATTGGAAATGCTGTTTTTTTGGAGAATTTCTGTTACAAAACAAAAAATGTTTAAATTGCATTTTAAAAAGATTACAGCTTCAACAGAGATGAAAAATGCAGTTTAAAAAACATAAATTATATTCAACAGGACTGTATAAACGAAATATTGTTCAGAACTGCTCTGCTTATCACTAAGCAGAATGAAACAAACTTTAAAGTGCAGAGTTAAGTATTTGTAGCTTAATTTTGCAAACTCAGCGCTTCCTGTGTGCAGTTCTGACACCAAAAACCCCAGGGTTACGGGAATGGATATGAAGTTTAGAATGGTGAATTTATAAGGGGGCAGAGGACAGGAAGTGAAAAGCCCCGTGTCACTATGCACGGCAAACATGGGCTCCTAAAAGTAAGAACAGCCGATTTGGTTACAGACGGTGCTTATCTTCCTTAAAACCCTCACAACCCAGTCCTGATCCTGGGGACGGGGAGCGGTCAGTGCTGCCCTTCGGTAATGTCCTCTAGTGAAAGCCAGTGCTTTTTAACCAGGAGAAAGGAAACGGCCTTTCCTAAAGGCTGCTATGCTCTGTGGCTATAAGTACAAGAGGCATTTTACCCAACACCAGCTGGTTTAAAAAACTTCTGGCATCTATTCTCACCGCAAACCAAAGAGGCAAGAGACAAAACTAGAATTTTAAAAACATAATTGCTCACAGAAGCCACATAAATAATACAGACTTAGTCATAATGACAAACAGGACATCTATTATTTTGAGGGTAAAAAACAGATAAGACTGACAAAAATAACTACAGAATAATAACTTTATGCTGAAACATACGTGCCACCCATTTTTTTTTGCCATGAGAGTATTATTTGAAAAAATTCAAATTATCTTACTGAAGCTATTCTGCTGTGTTCTATACAGTTTTCTATAGAATAACATGGCCATTCTGGAGTGTGAGTAGAATACATTATGCATTCTGAGAGTAAACCCCATTAAAAAAAATCACCTCAGAATGAAGGTTAAATGAAACTGCTGGATGAACCTACAGTTCCAGGCACAGTTCCAGGCTGCGCTGGAACTCACAGGCTTCCGGATTAGCCCTTTGGCAGTGGCAGTTCAAGCTGTTTGTGTCTGGACCACTTACCCCTCCTGCAAACTTCAGGCTATTTTCTCCCAAACTGAAGTGATGTAATCATTTACCTGCAAATTCACATTCTGCTTATAGCCAAATTAGAAGTTCTATTTAAAATAATAGACCTGAAATTTGTTCTTTCATTCAGACTTTACTTTTTTTTTGGTCTTTTTCGTTTTTATCAGTAACAGGGATCGAACTCACGACTGCCTGCTTGGAAGGCAGGCGCTTATGCCGCTGAGCTAAACCCCCAGCCCCCATTCTGACTTTACATTAAGGATACATAAAACTACAGAAAGGCATAAATTTGCAAGTGAATACAACATAAGAAAAGAAAAATTGTCACAAAGTGACATTCTTGTAAAACACCCTTATGACTAGTGGAAATGGAGATAGAAAAGGAAGCACAAGGCAAAGGAAAGACTTGGAAAAAAAATCTGATGATTTAAAAAAGTACAGCAAAGCCTTGATTTTAACTATCTCTTGGCCATTCATACCAACTCACCTGCCTTCAGTTTTTCTTTTGTATTTCCTACACAGTGAGGCTCCTTACTTGTGAAAGGGTAAAGTTAAAAAGGTGTAACAAAGCAGGCAATGAATGAATCAACATACTCAAAACCCAACTAATCGGAACATAGACCCCAAACAAGGGCGTTCTTCATTGCTCAAGAGGTCTAACTGAAGTTCTGGCTGCAAAAAGAGGAATTCATCAGTCCTACTAACCAAAGCCTGACAGATTCATTTCTATGTGTGAGTTTACCCGGTTTACCTAAGTCTCCACTTTAATGTCTACAAAGGGCATGTTTTAAAAGGTGCAGGAAAGTGAGTCCTACATTTCTTGCTCGTGCTCAGCAGAGCTTCTGGTAACACACAGCCCACTTCACACACACGCTTAGGTTTGCCACTGCTGAGCTAGGTGGTTCCTGGGGGCACACTTCTGGACAAGCTGACTTACCAACCTCCTAATGCTATCTCTTTTGTAAGGGCATGAAATTTTTCTGCCTATAGAATATACAGAAAGAAGTGAATTATTGCATATTATGGTAGTATATAAAGCTATTAAAAGGGTGCTTTTCAAAAATCGTATCGCTTGCTGAAATTCATTTTTAGAAAGAGCAACTTCCTAGTTTGCGTTAGGATGAACTGAAATCCAAAACTGGATTTTTCCAAGATGCCTACCGGAAATTCTTGTCTGTTTTCCCCACTGTGTGTAAATGTTTAAGAGGAAACTAGCAAAACCTGTAGACAGCAAATCTCAGTTGCCAGTCACCTTTATAAAGAAAAAGTTTCACAACTGTGGCTACAGATCGCTACTCAATGGGTCACACTCCCAGCAAACGACTAACCCAGACCAAATCCACAAGACAGTAACATCACAAAAGCAGAGGAAATCCATGCACAGCCAGCTGAGGTCCCCTGGGGCTATGATACAGTGATGCTAAGGTAGGTGACACCTGTGGCAGAGGAGGGCGACCACGTGGCACTTCACAGAAAGCCAAAAGGCTCCTCATTTTCCTCGCTAGCAATCAACACTGGGTAGTTTCCTTTTGGCTCACTTACAAGTCAAGTCTCAATATGGGTGAGGACATTAGAACTCTTCTGACCAGACAGTGACGTGTACAGAGGAAGTGAAGAAAACAGCAGCTTTACAAATATTTCACCCAAAGCACAAACTTCTGACATCAAAGAACTTAAGTCACACAATGTACCAATATTGCTTTTCATCTCTTGTTTTATATATACTTGTTCAATGCATTTACCATCAATTCTTTCTTGGGAGAACACAGTCATGAGCTTGACGTTGCTGGGAAAACGTCAATGATCCCTTTGGTCCCTAAGCTGGAAACAGCTGAGAAAAGCACACATTGAGGACGGAAAGCCAGAAAGAAGAGGCCGCCAAGGCATCTCTGAACATCCTGTTTGCTGCATTTCAGAAAATGTGACACTGGTATCATAAAATAGTCCTTTTCATACAAAAGATGGTTCTTGCAGCACCAGTCGCACCTCCCTTTGGGGAATCGTGTCGGCAGGGGTCGGGGTCTGTGTTTTAAGTCTGATTTGGAAACAAAATGCAGCATGCCCATCCTTCGGGCAGTGAAGGATGAAGCCGGCCTTGGGGGGTGTGGCCTCTGGGCTGCCACTTCCGGCACCTCCCTGACACACGTAGTTGAGGGCAGGCGCCTGCCAGCGCCAGCAGGGTGCAGTGCTGTCATAATGGATCCATTTCCAGAACCACAGTGGATGCGTGCGCACCTACCCTTCCGCCTCCTCGATGGGCTCTGGTGGCTGTGGCAGCAGGGAAGCCGAGGGCGGGATGGTGCTGGTTCCCCGGGAGACACGGTCCTGCTCTGTGCTCGCAGACAGTGAAGCCACAGCAATGGGCTGGATCAGGGTGGTCGTCATCCCGGTGGTGACCGTCAGGCTGTGGCCAGAGCCCTTAAGGGTGAGATCCGCCGTGGGCAGGAGTGGCTTGAGGATGCTGACAAGGCAGAAGGCAGAGCCGCTTTTGGGGATGAAATTCACTTTGTTCTTGTCAGGACAGTAAAAGGCTGGGATTTCATGAAGTTGTTTCGGCCTAGATACAGAACAGAAACTCAAAAGTCACTGGACCACAGGAATGAGCTCTTTTTTTTTTTTTTCCATTTTTTTATTGGTACTGGGGATCAAACTTACGACTGCACACTGGCAAGGCAGGCACTTATGCTGCTGAGCTAAATCCCCAGCCCCAAAACGGGCTCTTTCATCACTGAAACAGCTAGCTTCTCTGCCCCTGAAGGAGTGCAAACTCACTGGAACAGGTGCAAGGACCGTGCTGCTACCCAGTGCTGTGCGTGTGGAGGGGTTGACCTGGCCCCGAGGAAGGGGCCTGAAGTGGGTGGCCTCCTCCCCCAGGATCCCTAGCTCCCCTGAATGGAGGCAAGGAGGATCAACCACGCAGCACACATCTGTTGGAGTGTCACCCTCTGTGGGTCAAATGCTCTCAGAAACCTCTAGAACAATTCCTTGTGTTAACCACTGTCCTTTTCAGAGCAAAAGAATTGTAAATTAAAAAAAAAAAACAGGTCACCCATCTACACAGCAAATACTGGAGGTCATTTCTAAAAAACCAAACCAAAACAAAAAATCAAATTGCTTTTGAGCCAACCAGCCATTTCTTTGCAGTTAAGACAAATCCCAGCTGCCAATATGTAAAACCCAAGAGCTAAACTCAGAACAAGAGCTTTACGCTGAATAGTTAATAGAATGGCCCCATCTTCTCAAGAACTTCTGTGAAAAGATCTAACCAACAAGCATAAAATTATCCAAAGTATTTGGCAAAAATGCAGACGGCAAGTCCTGCTTCCGTATCTACAGATATGATTAATTCTGCCTGGCCACCTGGTTTCAGCAAATTCCCCAGTGATTAGAACCCAGGGAATTCATGGACAAATCTGCAGATAATGGCTTCAATGTTCAGTTAAAACTTAAGGCTGGCATGAAGAAAACAACCAAAATAAGCACAAGTGTGTTCCGAGACCGGCACAGGCACAGCCAGGAGAGTGACAGCTGGCGTTTCCTTGCGGAGATACTGAAGAGATGTGAAGCCATGCTCCCTGGAGGGCAAGACCACCCAGAATTTAGGATGCCAGAAGCATCAAAAAAAGTATGCAGAAGAGAAATAGAAGGATCTGAAATATTCAGATTACTCCGGGATGTTCATGATAGAGGAAAGGACAACTATGAATTGGAAGAGGTCACACCTCCACGGTGTATCTCAGTTTTCACAGTAAGAAAACCCTAAGAAGGGCGGCTCTGCAGTCTGTCACTACAACAGAGCTGCAGGGTGGGGGACTGGCGCCACCCATGGTGCTCAGAATCCTCGATCCTCACTAACCCGCTCAATGGCTGTCCTTCAGGCACGACTTGTAAATCAGGAGCTACCGCCACTGGAAATACAAGTCTGCATACCCTTGGGTGAAATCAGTTTAAAATGCAAATAGCAGACCTCTAGAGAGGTACATAGGCGCAGGACAGTGCCATTCCTCAGGGCTCTCGTCTCCAGCCCCCACAGCTGCTTCCATTCTCTCCATCACAGAAGGGAGTTCCCTGCACTGGGGACCAAAAGAACTTTAAAAGTTTTAAGACACTGGAGACCGAAAGTAGGCAAAACCTGAAAGGGATTAGACTCTTGGAAGAAGGAAACCACACTGAGTGAAATCTGTGGTCCATCTTGAACACATGCATTGTTCAGCTCCAAGTGTGAGCGTGACTGGATACAGCTATAAAACCCAGAGCTACAGGGGCTGGGGATTTAGCTCAGCGGCATAAGCACCTGCCTTGCAAGCAGGCGGTCGTGAGTTCAATCCCTGGTACCGATAAAAATGAAAAAGACCAAAAAAAAAAAAAAAAAAAAAAAACCAGAGCCACGGACAGTGCGGGTCAGGCGGGATCTGGCTCAAGTGTGAGGCTGCTTCTGTGGGAATGAGACTGCCACACGTCGCTCCTCTCCCATCCACTTACTTGGAACTCTAATAGTTGGGGGAAATACTTACGAGCACTCCTCGAAGACTTTGACCCTCTCACAGCCCTCCGGAGGCTCCCGCTTGAACATGTAACTGTTGTTAGGCTTGGGGGATGTTGCGTACTTGGGCAAAGGAGAGTTGTTTCCGTTCTCTGCAAGAAATGTCACACCATGTCACTGAAATGCACTGCACAGTGGAGCCATATGTCACCATCTTGGTGTCCCCTGCACAGGAAGCACCAAAGGGCAGGCGTGGTACTGTACTTGTTCCCACTGCTATATCTCACGCAAGTCTCGGGGGAAAAAGGAGACGATCTTGTTACACCGTAACCAACAATAAGACTCCAATTTCTTTTGCATTTAAAGCGATCACAGCCCAGGCCTAATGCTTGGTCCTCAGTAATGAACACTGAGTTGGCTGGCTTTATTTCTGTCCTACACACAGCAAATACACTCGAATGCCACCTGCACTTTTTCAAGTGCCTGAAATGGCTCCCCCAGGGCCACTTGTCAGCACCTTTCAGCCTGTCAGCTAGTTTCTGAGTTAGTCCCTCCTGGTCACAGGGACTGCTCCTCTGGTCAGTCTACACTGCAGGCTGCCAGACTCATCCAAACGAAACATTTACTTCCGCCTGAGCGTCCATTCTCCCTAAGAGGTCAATTCCATTCATTTCCCTACAACTTCCTTCAGAGCCTGCCTCCAACGTTTTTGAAACTTCCAACTAGCTCTGTCAGAAGGACATTTCATCACTCTTAACACCTATTCAGGGCATACATTCAGATTCTTCACGTGCTATGTAACTTTCTCAATTTTCAATCTGTGTCAGCCGCAAACTCCTAGCTGGCAGCAGCACTATGGGTGGCCCTGCTTTCTTATGAAAGACTGTGGGAAACCTATGCTTAACTTTTGAACTGCTCCCGTCTCCAGCCTCTGCACACAGCACCCTAAGCGCCCTCCAGCCTGCCTGGCGAGCTTGCTCTGAACATACCCTGTGTTCCTGTGTCACTGTAAACCTTGTTAGAAACACCACAAACGTACAGCCTTAAAAGCAAAACGTCAAGGTTTCACATTAACTAAAAAGAACTAAGGTAATAAAGCTAGGACCAGTAAAACCACAGAGACCAAAGTGCTTGCCAACACCCATAAGGAAGTTGTATTCATGAAATAAACACTGTGTACACAAGCAGGAGGGGAGCCCGAGGTGGTGAGGCGGCTGCCTCCTCCCGCCCACGTCCCCAAGAGAAAAGCTCCCACAGAATATATGAGGACCCTAAAAGCCCCCAACTAGCACACTGCCTGCTGCAAAGCCCACAATCCTAGGATCCAGAGTTTTCTTTCCCTGCCCACCCTACCAGTGGCGCACACCCAGTACCACGCACCTTTGTCCCTGGGGTCGCCCAGCAGGTCATCAGCGGAGCAGGGGCTCTCCTCGCTGCCCTCGTGGGAAGTGGTGAGGAAGGACGCGGGGGACACAGACTGTGAGCGACTGCTGCTGCTGCTGCCCCTGTCGGCGCCTCCCGGTGTCTGCGTGTCAATGCTTCGGCTGCTGCTGCTCCTCTGGGCCAGTGGGGGAGGTGCGCGATGGCCATCTGGGATGTCCTGTGGCTGTCACCACACGGAACCCACCCTGGGTGACCCTGGCTTTGAGATCCGCTAGCCTTGCCGGTGTTGCAGCCACCCGGTACCCACCGCACACATGAACCATGCTCGACTATGCACTCCAGGCTGCTGGGCACTGAGCCCAGAGCCTCACTGGAGTTAGGTGAGCGCCCCTCACCACCGTGGAGCTGGGTCCCCAGCCCTAAAGGTCATTTTTTAAATCAAAGAATAATAGTGGCAGAAGGGGTGGCACCAAGGTGCAACACCAGGCCCCTCCTAGGACAAGGTCATCCACTATGTCACCCAGTAACTCACAGCAACACAGGGTGAAATCCAGTGGCACCCAGGGAGGCCTGGGAGGCTCCCTAGGGTGAAAGCCTGGCCTTTCCCAATTGTCCCCCTGCTTTTGCTTTAAGCTGAGCCAACCTCTTCCCTAAGGGAGAGAATCTTAAGATAACAGTACAATACCAAATCCTTTCACGGCGAAGCAGGTGCTTACGAAGCCTGCTCCATGACACAGTATTCATACCTAAATGGTCATTTTTCTTCCCGTTTTGTGTGTTCTAGCAGAAGGGTCACAGTGAGCTCAGGATGTCACCCAAAACCAAGTGATAACTGACAACTGACAGCAAGGAAAAGGCAGATTTCAAGCTAGAAAGGATTCTGTCTTATAATCCCCTAAAATTACAAGGTAAACTTTGCTTAAATGAAATTTTAGTAATGAGAGGTGAATCACTGATCAGTGACTCTAAAGGATAAAAAAACAGTTCCTGTTCAAAGACCCTAATTTAAATTGGATCAGTTGCATCTATAAGGTAAAAAATAACGACAATTTCTTAGAAAAATTTTCGGCCACTTGCCAGTGTTGAAGTTTTTCAAATGAGATAACTTTCTATTTTTCACTCAAAAATTAAAGCCACAAGTAAATCTGGAAATTAAAACTGATAATTAGACGACTGCATGTGTGAGGCTGATTTTAAGAGCTAAAATTACTCACAATAAGTTGCTCTTCCTTTTCCCCAGTCTCTTTAATGATTATTTCAATCTCCTGATTCAGTCCTTCCACACTGTTCCGGAAGCGGGAACCTGTTGATTTGGTGATGGGAATTACTGGAACAAGTGTACTCTTTGGAACAGGAGCCTTCACAAAACAAGGGGTGGGGGAGAAGAGAGAGTCAACATTTCTTTCTTTTTTTTTTTTCTTTTGTCTTTTTCTTTTTATCGGTACCGGGGATCGAACTCACGACTGCCTGCTTTCAAGGCAGGCACTTATGCCGATGAGCTAAATCCCCAGCCCCAACATTTCTTTCTTGTTCTCTGAGTTTAAGTGTACGTCCACTGACAACACAAGTGACTAAAAAGCAAAACAAAGCTACAGGCCTCCTGCGTTGTCAAGTACAACGGAAACCCCTACATTCCAGACACACAAGGTAGAATTTTAAAAATTTATTCGCATTATAGGCTGGGAAAGGAATTAGAACCAAGGAAAATCTTAAAATGATGTCAATGTCAGCCAATCTTTTAGGACTGTGAACAGTTTAAAGATTTCAAAACAATTCTAAACTTTCCTAGTGCCACGATCTATTGAAAAGAAACAAGGAATTTATCGAACAAAAAGCATTTTAACTAGAAAACCAAAATCACTTCCAAAGTCCACAAAGATCAGCAAGATTACAAAACTGAAAACAACTTCCCTATGAAATTTATGCATTTACTGTAATGTTTACTGTTTTGTTGAGGAAAAGAAACAATGCAACACAGATTTTTTTTTCTAAAGACTATGTTTAATTTTTAAAATTAAAAATGTCTCGTCACAGTTACTTCTTTTTGAAGGGAACAGCTGATGTCATAACTACAGATACTACTCAGTGTCCTGACAAGACCCTGAAGCAGCACGTGAGGCAACCACTGAGGCTGACAGTGGGCTCCTTGGGCCCTTCGGTGATCACGAGTTTCACTCGGAGGACAACTCACCTCTACTCCCTGTTCAGAACACACAGTGAGCAAACAGGTCGACACAGGCTGCCCAGCTTGCCACAACTGTCCCCATGTTTCCCTCCCTTGATTCTTTTTCCCCGTACTGCAAGGCTGCATCGTTGGTCCCACTCCACTCTTCTTTCATCTTTTCACATTCTGAAGGTTCATGTTCCTTTTCCCTTGCTCCTCGCAGGAGCATCAAAGTTCCTACCTTTACCCTCTGTTTCCTTCCATCTTCTTTCCCTTTCCCCTCTCCTGATCTGGCGCTCACCATCAAAGGGAAGAGTTGGGAGACCCTGAGCTCAGGCAGCCCACGAGGTCTCAGGCATACAGACTTGGTCTGGGCCACTGCACAGCCCCCTCGGAGCCCACAAAGTCCCTGCCTCTCGGGACAGCTGTCCTTGGTGCAGGCCCTTGGCTTCCAGAGACTAGTGATGACTTTCCACCCCACCAGCATCAAAGATCAAATAAAACTTTCCCTGATGCAAGCTGGAGTTAAACTATGAATTTCAAGTAACACTGAGTTGTCTATGGTCAGGATTTTTGGAAGATGAATTATAGATTAATTTCCAAATTTACAAACTGAAAATTATGGATCTACAACTTAGAGGATTTAGCTCCATTTCTTTTGTCTCTTTCTTGAAATAAATATAAAATTACTGTGTGCTGGGAGGAAACATGGACCCACCAGTGTCTCAAGGTTTCCCCTTCTGCCTCCTACAGACACTGCGAAAGTACCCACTGTGAAGGGGCACCCACCCTCCACACCTACCACAGCATCAGCTGCTGTGCACAGAGTGCACCTCACACTTGGCACCGAAGATGAAGCCACCCCTCCAAACCATCAGACCCGCACTGCACACAGGCTCCAGGACTGCAGAGCCACCTCGTGGGGAAGGACGGGGAGGCATTCACCTTCCTACTACGGGTGCCCCCAACCCTACCTGGATGGCCTTGCCCAGGCGGCTCAGTTCTGTGTGAGGTCCTGAAGGCGGTAGTTAAGTTTTAAGAAAGGGCAGACAAGTGGGCACCAATCTAACAGGGTAAGTGCAGGAGAAACACAAACAGACACACAGACAGGCAGACAGGACTGAGTGCGGCACAGAGGAACAGGCCCTGTGCCTCCCAGCTAGAAGGCATCAAGCCTGCCTAATGGGCTCTGCTCAGGACTGCCAAAGAGTTCCAAAATTCATTTCATTTCCATGCTATCCAAGGGGTTTAAGAATCTACTTAAATACAACCTGGCTGTACAGTGAACAGAGTCCATAGAGCTGTGGCCAAGAAAAGCTAGCCACACTGTGCTACTCACTGCCCTCTGTGTAGGCTCTTGCTAGGCTGTTTGGGCTGGGCTTGAACTTGTGCTCTTCATGCCTCAGCCTCCCAGAGTGCTGGGATTACTTTTTCTTTACTACAAAAAGTAAAATCTATCATGGAGGCATGAAAAACTGAATTAAATCACAGGAGGCAGCACCTATTAATAATCCGACGTCCTTTGATCTCGTTATTTTCCTTCTGTGCGCACTTTTAGCAAAAACAGACTAGTATTGTGTAACTAGTACTCTTCTTATCAGATCTCTAGCATCTTTCTATACTTGAAGTGTTTACTTATCAAATCATGTTTATGGTCGCACAGTATTTCATTGCATGAGCACATAAGAAATGCTTATTACTGGACACTTTTCGATGTTTCACTGTTCTACAGAAATGCTGCAGGGAATAGCCTCTTATGTGAGGATTTGCAGACATATTCCAGGATTCTGTCAGGATAAAGCACTGGGATGTAGACTATTACTGCAAAGAATAGGAAAGGTTTTTGGGACTTTGATCCATAACAACAAAATATTTGTATTCCTTACGCTTCTCTCTACACTGTAAGAAAAGGTGTATTTTAAACCAAACTCGAAACATTGGCTTTAGTTTCTCTTACCCTCAGGGCAAGTTTCACACGTTAAAAAGCGCTCATTCTTTGTATGTCATTGCCTATGAGTAAAGGGGAACATTTAAAATAACCACCAACTAACTGCAGCGGGCACCGCTGATGGGCTCCAGTCCACCTGAAGGAGCTCTTCTCTGGTGTTTACATATTAACACTTTATTCGCACTGAAAAGACCGTTTAATTTTATTACTCAAACTGTGTGTATTTTATTGTACACTTAAAGGTCACTTCTTCTTTTTTTTTTTTTTTTTTTTTAAGTGTCTGTTCACCCTTTCCTGGGATTTGCATACCTTCGTCTCTCAAGTTTGCATTTTTACCTCAGCCCTTTGTGGTACATACTGTGATTATCTTATTTTAAACTTCATTCCTGATGTTTCCATCTTGCAGCCATCTTCACAGTTAACTTCACTCATCTTTTCTTTTTTATTTAATTGAATTCAGAACCTCATGCTTGCCAGGCAGAAGCTATACCCCTGAGCTATATCCCTGGCCCTCTTTTCTTTTGTTGATTGTGAGTTTTGGGTCCTAGAAATCCTTTCCCTATGCTGAGGTTACAGTGCAATTCACTAATGTTTCCTTTCAACATATAAATGGTTTCTTGTTTACATTTAGATCCTCACCCATTCAGATATAGGGTGAGTTCTAAGTTTATCTTTTTTAAATAGCTGTCCCAACCATTTCCAACTAGTTGTCCCAGCACTAGTTATCAGAAGTTCATCTCTGACCATGTGTTAATTCCTATCCATACTTGAGTTTGGCCTTCTCGTCCTGTTCTTCTGGTCCACTCTACTAGTAGAGGAACACATCGGCTTTAATTTAAAAAGGTTTCAGCTGGGCGTGGCGTGAACACCTATAATCCTAGCATTTGGGAGGCTGAGGCACAGGGATCACAGCAAGTTCAAGACCAGCCTGGGCTACAAAGTGAGCTCGAGACCAGTGTATACTGCATACCAAGACCCTGTCTCAAAAAATCCTCTTCAGTTTTCCTTTTTCATAATTTTCCTTATTACACTCAAAGGTTTTCTCTATCGAAATAAGCACCAACTTTTGTCTAATCCTGTATGAAACTTTGTTTACAGAAATGTTTTACTGCAATTGTATTATGATCACAAACTAAATTAGGGAGCACTATGTAAATAATCCCACTCAAGCATAGGGAACTTCTTCACATTTGTTTCAGTTTACTGTGTGACTTTCAGCAGTTCATAAAATTTTTCTGTCTAATGTTTTGTAGTTATTAATTTCATTTGGGGGGTTATGAATCAGGATCTCATTATATAGTTCAGACAGGCCCTGAACTCACAAAGACCCTCCTTCCTCAGTCTCTCTGCATGTGGGATTACAGGTGTGCCCCGAAAGAGTATTATTACACTTGAAGCAGCTGAGGGCTCTGTCATTTCAGGCAACCACTGACTTCTTCCTAACTGGCAACACCTCTCGCATTTTCCTAATTGTGATAAAGCCAATGGGTCCCTGAGAAAAGCTCTTGTTAAGAGGGGGCTGTAGATTATCCCACCTTCAAAAAATATAATGCCCAATAATTGTTCAGGAAGAATAAAGAATTTTCCCAGCAAAACCATCTATGTATCATGAAATCCAAACCAAAAATGGTAAATTATAAAAGTTATCCCAAGAGTGGAAGAACCTGCAAACTTCTTAAACAATAGAAAAGAATCTCTAGGAAAAAAATACAGAAAACACTTTACACAAGAAGAAAGTGAACCCAACTCAATAACTGAAACTTGAGGAATACTGTAGCGAAAGATAGTCATGAAAACTTGCCTGAAACATCTTACTGACAAATACTCCCCCACTCCACGTTCAACAAAAAGGGCAGAATTCAGAACTCACTGTCTGCAGTGTTAGCACATTCTCAACAAGGGTGGCAGAGAGAAAAAGATGAAAAGCTCCTTTCATGCACAGAGCCCTGGGTTCCACATCCAACCCCCAAAACCTTAGGAAAGGCTGGCAATGTCTTGAGCTGTGGAAGGTGAGCCACTGGACAACTCTTTCCTATTTCACTTAAAATACACAGAGATGCAGTTTTTATTGGATGTTTTTGTTCTTAAGACCGACTGCCCCGTTCATGTCTTGTCTATTAAGGCGCTGCCTCAATGGCTACAGAGACTGAGCACTGCCACCTGACCCCTGCAGACAGGACCCTGTGGGCACCGGAAACACAGCTAGGCTGCACAGCCTTGCCTGGCCTGGCCCAGGCCCTGGGGTC